GCGGACAGGGGCGAGCGAGACGGACGCCCAGGTGAAAGCCAGCGCAATTCGAATGAAGAGCGCCGCGAGCCGCGGAGACCGAGCATGAGGGATAGATGAAGATGAGGGTAGGGCCTGGAGGACGAGACGAGGGGCATCGTCCACGCTAGTCCGGTTCTGGCAAAGTCTGTACCGAAAAAAAACCATGGTGTAAACAGTGGTTGCAGAACACATCCGAATGCCACCCTCCGACCGAATACCATGAGATATCCTGGATGTACTTGCAGACACCGATTGACGCCACAATAGAACGCCAATTCGGCGGTAGCGTTGACTGCTGTCAATGTCGCAAGTGGTGCCATGATGTTTGTGTTGCGCCCTTGAACATGGGAAGAGCCACCTGCGCGTACTGAAGCTATCGTGCCTCACTCGGACAGAAGTCGCAGTTTCGATCAAAAATTGAGCGTTTGCAGCGGCCACCTGACTCCACCCACGGCCCCACTCCATGATTCACATTCGGGAGCTGGAGCGGCGGCCTAGACGACATCAATCTCTACACGACCAATGCTTCAATTCGCAACCACCCATAGCTTCCCCACGATGTCCCTCGGCAGCCTCGATACCGATGCGGTATACATGGCAGCGCAGGTAGTTGAAAGACAAGGCCGCTGCCTCATCACTCGACCGGCTACACCGGACTGGGCCGGGTCATACGACTTTGACTTCGTCCTGGATCTTGACGAGAGCCTACGTTTGCTCCTTGATCAAATGGAACATAGAAGAGACCACTACGGCCGTGATGCTATCGAGTCGCGTCCTGCCCATACACCGGAGGCGATTTTGGCGAAGCATTGCGGCACCGAACATGGGAAGGCGCATCGCGAGGGCAGAATGACCATGGGCGCTTCTACACCGGAGGCAGACTACATGCGGGATCTTTGGGAAGGCGTACCTACCAGATACAAAGAAAAGATTCCCTTGCCACAGCTCTACCCCGACTACACCAGGAGCGTCGGCGTCGCAGCCACGGCGCCGCCTTCTCACCAAACCAGCGAATCCACTGTCATCCAAAAGCACTCTCGCGGTTCAAGCAGCAGCGACACCGATGATCAAGACGCCGTCTTCTCTCGGCCACAGCGAGGCGACTGGACCGTACTGACCAGGCCACCCGAAACCCCCAGTCAAGGTACCCTTCTGCACGACTCCACCTGCGTCCCGAGATTCCCCGCGCCTAGGGTCAAAGATGCGTCTCCATGGATGACATCTGGATGAAGCGAGCAAAATCAGAGTCTGAGTTTCCAGCGCACACGATATCGATACTTGCCGAGCTTCCGACATCTGTGGCTGATTACGTCAAGAACACCGGAGAACGATGCGCCGAACGGTTCACAGGCATTTGGGCAAAGAGTGGTACGCGGCACTTGTTTTCACAATGCTATCATGCTCTTACCTCCCTATGTCTCCATTTCCAAGACCAGCATGCGGCGGACGTCAAGTGCCAGGCGCGATCTTTCGATACAGTCGAGATACAGCATGTCATTGGGTCTGGCTCACATGTGTGCGAAGAAAATGAAGTTATCCTCTTTCTACGACACTCTCAGCTAGTAGTTGCGCTTCCTACGCGCTGCTATGATGAGCTGTATCGCTTCATAGCCTTATCACTTGGAAATAATTGGCAGTGGAGATAACGCAAAGACCTCGCCAGTACAACGCACAAAATTGTCATATGCTATGGATACAAGAGATCCAACAAGCTCAAAGCCACAGAGCTATTCAAACCATGAACATGACACACATGCACGTTAGCTAAGAAAAAAACTGAACAGGCCTGCAGCCTACATTAACATGTAAGCGTACAAAACAGATGACCTAGCGTCGATGTAGGCTCTAGACCTGTTCAGTTTTTTCTTGTATGAGGTGCATGTCTCAGCTTCGTGAACTCCTGGTGCGTCATTGTGGCCATTAAATATCAATAGAACCGGACAACCTCACACAATGTATACGGGATCGCGATCTTAGCTCAATAGTGAAGGTCAACTAGACTGTTCTCGTTTGAGGAATACGAGAAAGCGTAATACTTTCGGCATCATCTGATACGGTATTGTATCCAGGAACCGTCTTTCCATGTACGGGTGGTGGTTGTGCCCTCAAGATGCGACCAACTCCCATTCTCGATCCTTTTCAGCTTCTCTTGCATGTCCGTTCACACTCGCATCCATGGACCTGTTCACAGCATCTGTGCTAGCCGCCTGGGCACTGCCACTATGCGCCGACGCCCTCACCGCTTTTCCATCCAACTCCCCACCGCGTCGCCCCACATCCGCGGTGTCAAAGGCGCCGAGCATCCGCGCGTACTTGTTGGCTCCCTCTGCTGTCTTCTTCTACCCTCTGGGTCAGCGCATAGAAGATTTTGGGTGGACCAAGTTCTTACGACAATGGACTCCACCCTGCGTCGGATAGGTAAGCGCTGGTTATGTTCCCCCAACGATTGCTTGCAGTCCATGTGAAAGATGAATTCCTCTGCATCTCGCTGAACGACCCGCAGTTCTTGCCTGATACGCAGCGCGCGTTCGTCAAACTCGTGTAAGAAGGCGCGATCGCGCAGAGTCGCGGCCTGCAGTGCCGCTTCTTCTGCTTCACACTTGGTTTCCAGTGTCGCAAAATGGTCCTCGAGCTTGCGGTAAGAGACACTGGGGTCGGAAGCTGTCGCCATATCCTCGCGATGCACTTGCAGAACGCTCGTGTGTGCAAGTCCGGGGTGTTTGGGGAATGATGTGTCGTGAAGAGAGGGAGAAAAATATGGTCGATGCTAATGGCAATGAGAGTTCAGGAGGATAGAACGATGTAGCTCTTTGATCCCATCGTTCAGATTAGATGTGTGTGAGGTGAGTGAGGATGGAGAATGCCGCGTAACGCTTGTCGTTGTGTAGCAGGTGAAGGTGATGAGTGAGCCGTGAAGGTACCATCAACTACGGTTCCACCCCGTGGAGCAAGGATAGACTGCATACTCAAGTACTGGGGTCAGAACAGGCTGGAATAGACGCAGTAGTAGTAGTGATAGGAGAGAAGAGCACAGTATTTATTCTTCGTAGCTACAACTACCAGAGATATGCGAAAAGAAAAAATAGCATTTCAGAATGAGATCGAGAGTATACGGTTGACGCATGAGATGATGAGGATGAAGATGTCAAGGTCTGGTCAGTCGATGATGTCGCCGATGTGGAGCTAGTCCTTTTACGGCCAAGCTTCAATTTTGCACGTGAGGACGTACGCGAGCGCGAATCTGCCCGGGTGGTCCAACGCGACCCCGCATCGACATCTCGCCACAGCGCTCCCACCTCATACAAGGGATAAATTGAACACGTCTGCAGACTACATCAACATGAGTACATGCAAATCGGGTGTGTTAACATCGATGTAGACCCCACCCAGGGTGTTCACTTTTTCCCTAGGTTGACGTGCTCCTCGTGTGTGCGTGTCCGCCGTCCAAACATCTTTCCCCATCTCACGAATCAAACCGAAGGAAAAATCGCGTCATCGCGGTTCCTCTCCATCAGTCTCGTCGCGCCATGATTATTCGAGCTCGAGCGCGACCCAAGCGAACCGCTGTCGAGCTCCTCCAAAGGAGCCGGAGTGGCTGAATCATGCGCGGATGACTTCATTCATCTACGTAAAGGTGCCGTCTCTACAACTGGTCTTCGAGAGCAATGGCGCTGGTACGACATCTTCCCACCCCAAAAGTGGAATGGCAGCTGCTGACATCCTCACCTAGACGATCTCCACGACTGATGCGATGGCCACAGCCGAGCCGCTTTCCTGAGGACCAGCCTGCAGTAAGTACGACGCGCATGCTTGACGTCTTGCCCCTCGTCGCACACTCGCCTACTTCTCTGCCACGTAACCGCGAACAAGAAATCCGTCAAGAGAGAAATCCGCTATGACCGAGAACGCGCAACAACGAGAACCGATCGGCGACGCGGCGCTTGAGATTGCTGTACGGAGGACAGGCCGTATGAGCTGGAAGGTCATGGCTAGGTGGAATCTGCGTCGCCCTCGTCGAAAGTCTTCCCGCCTTCAGCGACGACGCCCGTCGGCTCCCTGCGATACCTCCTCCCCCACCACAGAAGCAGCCCCTTTTCACGACATACAACACTTTACGGATGCGCCGAAACAAAAGTGGCCGGAGGAATAGAAACATGAGTCGGGTTGGAGTAGTCTTTGGCGGCAGTAGAAGCTCTCAACCATGGCTTCAGCCAGGTCTCGAATGTCGTGGTGCAGGGGCTCAGCGAAGGGATAGGTATGAGCCGCCAGCAGCTCCATGTGATTTTCTCCTCATGTCCCGATCAACACTCTTTCCCTACTCATGCAGCCTGAAAAGCAGCAATCCTGTTCTTGAAGACGTTGACATCTCCATGTATCCTGTTCCCGTGCTTCTGCTTCCACAGGTTGCATGACCTTCTGCCTGGCTAGCATAGTATCAACTACCCTCCTGTCTGGCCTGGATGATGATGAAGGTCGTAATCTGACATCGAATCGTCTTCGATCGCTCCCGCGCGATTACTACTTGTTGCTTCCCTTGAACCTTGTCATAGTGCCGAATCTCATACGATAAGAAACGAGACAATGGTTGACAGTTCGATTAGTGGCGACGTCGCATTCGCGCAAGGGCTGTGCGTTGCTGCCTTCACATGATAGCAGCATCTATTCGAAGAGGTTCTTGCATTTCACCGAAGCCGAGCGTAGTAAGCGTATCAAATCGCTTGTCGGGATCTTCTCATTATGTCGTTCATTTCGGTAGGCACCCAAGAAGATGCACTCACTGCCCAGATGTCGGAGGTCGACCAGATGACGCTGACCCAAAGCAGCCTAGCCTGGGTTGTCGTCACTGCCCTCCATGGCTTTCGTCGTGGCCGTGAGTTCCTTCCCACTCATCCAAGCACGCGGCTCTTCTCTCACTTTTCACCCCACATCATCCAAGCCGCCAACAATGGGCATTCACGGTCCACCTTCTCGCGTATAGCATGGGTACCTCGTTAGCGAAGGATGCCCGAGCACTACAACGCCAGATCTCTACCTTGCACGCAGACTCGGAAGCCACGCTGATTACATACTCCAAGCTACTGCACAAGTACCCCGAAGACCGTCGCGCCTTGCTCGGACTGCTCGACGCGACCGCACACAGCATCATCGAGGGGTGGAGGCTACGAGCGCTGGATGACCACACGAACGCACGAGGAGCCTTCAATAGCCTGGAGAAGGGACGGTGGGTAGAGTTCGGCTGGCTTGAACTTGACATCGCCTTCGCATCGGTCTGGATCGACCGACCGACCTTTCTAGTGCAACTGCGAGCACTGCACGACAAGACCAAGCTCGACTGGAACACAGCTGTTGGCCTCATCGCAACTGCTAAGGGCAACGCTCGCGACGTCAAACCAACACACCTTAAACGCGCACTAGAAGAAGCGCGAGCAACAGAGAGAAGCGCGACAGCCACGCACGCAAAGACAGCCAATCAAGGCGATCAGAGGGAGGAGGACAGATCGGCAACTGACGATTGGGAGGTACAGGAAAGCAGCGCAGAGCGAGACGGAGACGGAGACGTAACGCTCGTAGATCACGACCCACCGACGCAGGAGAGCCTCGATCACCCACCCATCACCCAGTCTGATCCCCCAAGCTGGGGCGACGACGACACGTGCTTAGACGACGGCATCGTGCCGGTACACGAGACCGGAAGGCAGCATCTCAAACGTCAAAATCTCGACGAGCAGCGTATCGGCCCGCAACAGCTCGACCGAACACGCCTTATCACGATGGCCACAGGTAATACCCAAAGCGCACAGCCTGAAACCCGGGTCGAGACGGTGAGACGGTGGAAGCAAGAACTTGAGGACAGTCGCGCGAAGGCAAGACAGTCACGAGAAGCAAATGTCGCTGCTGGACTACATCTCGAGGAAACGACCGATGTGACGAATCTCAACGCTCGCAAAAGGGTCGCGCGTGTTGCGTTTGGCATCCCAGATGATGACAGCCAGATGGGTGATCAAGCTGCTCGAAAGGCCGTGGCGGATGCGACGACCGAGCTGGAACGGACATCAAGTGCGTGGAAGGCCGATCGAGAGGAAACTGCACGGAGGGAAGCAGAATTCGTCGATATCACGCGTGTAGTGCTCGAGGGGGTATGAGGGCTGTAGGATGACGGCACGACACTACGATTGTGCTGGCTATGAATATGAACAAAGCGAATCTAGGGGTATGAGTTCGCACGATTCGCATATGTAGCGCACTTACCGTCATAAAATGGACATGATGCAAAAGCTGGTGTAATGATGTGATCTCGTTTGTCACGCAAGGCTCAGCCTTCGTTGTGCCCCTTCGGTGTCACATCGCCACAACCCTTACCGCAACGACTAACAGTCTGACTTACTCCGAGCCGGACTGTCTAGGTACGCGTAGCGAAATCTATATGACAGGTCGCTACGTTCATACATTGTCGTGGTGACCCTTATAACCTCCACGGTCTCGGGTCCTTAGTATGCTGACAACGTACTACCAGCACCCGATACAAAAGACGTACTGAATGGGATTCATGTTTACTGTCGACTGAGACACGTCTCAGCGCACGCACGATAAGCTGGTTGCCGTCATCACCATGCCTATCCATACCGCGCAGGAGATGATCGTAGCGTAAGACGCCGCTGGCTTCGCCAAACGGAAAGTATTCTTTGAGCACCATCATTGCTATGGACATGTGTTTCCCCTGGTGACGTCAATCGATATTGAGGGCGAATGGCTGGGTCGGCGCAATGTCGTTGCTTCTGATATATTCGCATCGCTCCGTCCGCTGTATAGTATATCTGCTGAGAGCTAAAGTTAGCGTCGGTGCCTGGGGGTGTCTTCATGAACTGGAAATACGCACCGGAATAAGCTCGCTACTCAAACAGCTCTCGGCAGTCCATCGGCTTGGCTCTCACGCATCCTAAGCGCAACGAGGCGCACATATCTGCGACTGCTTCAATGGACACAAGGACGTAGGTGTTGGCTACCGCATCCAGGAATGACCCATCGTGAACAAGATGGGGCGACCGGCGATGCGCTCCACGCGATAGGCACGTCCTCGGCCGTGGTCTGTTGTTGGATATGTCGAGTGATCGGCATTGGTGCCTGGAGACGTCTGCACACCCGCTAACGCATGGCCGTACTTCTGTCGGCACCGTGCCTTTCGCACCCGTGGTTCTCGTGGCGCAGTATAGTGGACTTCAATCGCGGCGCCTGCGGGAGCGTGTGTGTCCATGCGTGAGTGTGCGTCAAGTCACAAGGTGGGGGTAAGTTGGGTCTAGGATGAGGTGCGGCCGAGGTCGACAAATTAGACAGGGATCCTCGATATCGGTGGGGAGCACGCGGAAAGCACGTGGTAGCGCCATCAAATTAAGCAGGTGGTGCTCATGTATACTTTCGTCCCAATACTTCGTCGTAGCATGCGATGCAGAATGCGATTACCCCTAGTGACGCTTCTGTCGAAGCCGAGTGGCTTGCACCCATGACCGTAGCCATGACCAGATCATCGCCTGGTCTGCGATCCATGGCGGTTCGCATGTGAAATGGAATGCAAGAAGTTGCCCTGCGGCGTGTGATCGAGGGAGTCATCAGTATCGACTGAAGGATAGTGAAAGCTTGTGACATCGGCCATGTCACCCATATTGCTCACCCTCGACCCGATCAAGTGTCCATCTTGGATATTCTACGTCCGCCATGCGCGCGACAATGTCTATGCTAAGGTCCCAGAAGTTGGCTCTTACTCCCATCATCGGTTTCCAATGCCTTCCGGTTGTCCTCACCGCCATCTTTTCCGAGGATATGGCATTGGTGCAGGTGCTGGTCATGTTTCCTCTCGGATCTATTGGAAAGGTCTGCTGCCGTCGCGGCGCATGTCAAAAGTTGCCGTCCTTCCGTTGTCGTGCGATTGGTCATCGCCGCTGGTGAAGTCGCACAACAGCGTTGCGGATGGCCAGAATGGACTTTGGCAGATTGTGGCGGCCAGCGATGGCTTCCGGTCGGGACGGCTTCCGGTCGCAAAGGCTTCAGGTCAGGATTGTAATGTTATTCTGGTTGAATATGGCGAGTCTCGGCTGGCAGCGACGCCTATCGCTTGTGATTGAAGATGCTGTGTCGCGATGAGGTTGACGCGTAGCGGGGAGGCTCACGCGTCATCGGGCATGGTCCACTCTCATTGGCTGATCAGCGGGAGTGCGATCCTGCCGACCCCGCGAAACTCGAAGCCGCCACATCTCCTCCACCTCACATATGCATCCTCGTTCCACTGGTCACTCCCAGTAATTCTCGTAGCACGCACGATGCCTTTGCTTTAGTCTCCGGGGCAGAAATCCATCAACCTATTGCGCATACGTGGCCCGCGCGATGCCCATGTGTGACAGGGAAGTTCCACCCACGTCCGTTACCCTGTCTAGTTTCTGCATCCGTCCAGCGTTATGTTGATTCTCTCTGTCATTTCCTATCGGTCGACTGTCGCGGATTCCATGTTTCGAGCCAGTCTCCACGGCCTTCTTGGTGTCCCCAGGAACGGAACACGTTCACGGTACTGGTCTCGTCAATGACGGGTTTCGATACATGCGCCTCAAAATGAGTCTTCCTGCGACATTGATATTCTCTGCATCACTTCCCTATGGTATAGAAAACATCTAATTCGTGTGTCGACTCCGCATATTGCCATGTATCACCGTACTTTAGCCTGTTACCACATTTGACCTCACACTTGCTTTAAACGCAACGAGAAGAAGCCACGTATGACGCCGATCGGTGGAATATCTGCGTCTGTATTCATTGGTAGACGGCCGCCTCTTTGCTATAATGTCGCGGGTGGAGCTTCGTCGGATGCGGGTCGTTGCGGCGCTAGCGCCAAGGATGTTAGGGCATGATGCAGGTACACAAACAGTTCGAACGCGCACTTGAATCAAAGTGAAAAGTACATGCGAGCCACCCGACACTCGCTTCCTCTCGCGCTTCAAACCGTTCACTGTCATCGTAAAAGACACTAGTCAACGACACGACTAGTTCCTTTCCAAGGTCATTGACATGGAGCGACCGCGTCCGCAACAATCACGTCCAGTCAACGATACATCGCCCCAATCCGGCAAACGAGCGGTCAAGTGCGCAGAACATGAGAAGCTTGAGAGACGTATCATGGTGAAATCTGAGCAACTAGAAAGTGCGTCAATACCAACCCACTTTCTCTTCCCCAATGCTGACCTTTGGCCAAATTAAAGTCGAAGACTGTCCCTCATCACCGCCCGTATCGTGTCACGCGCATATCAACTCCTCGTCTTCGGAAGCTAAATTGAGCTCCCCGTTATATTCAAGAGATCTCAGCACTCGTGCGTCTCTACAGTCTTCAATTCGGCCAATCATCCCCACCTCCTACACAACATCTCTGAACAAGGGCGATACTTGCATCCCCACTGCCCAAAGTCTTCGAGCTGCCGGATTCATTCACCCCTCATGGCCCGAAGCTCGATCGCGGGCACCCTACGTCCTGCCCAGGGGCTGGTACCGAGCATCAGATGAGAACGGCAATACGTACTTCTACAATGGCTTGGGCGTTGCGACCTGGCTGCGACCGACGGAGGTACCAGGTTTGCTTCCGGTCACTCAAGACATGGTAGACCGATACAATAATCCACGAGCCTGGACAGAGGCTTCACTGCACACCACCAAGCCGACTGAGACACTGAATACCCCTCCGATCACCCAAGGTCTGGTGAATAAGTACAATAGTCGAGCCGAGACAGAAGAGGCAGAGAGGTTACCGCAGACCCCCGAGCAGGCTGACGTGCCAACTGACCAGCCCGAACCTGAGGAAATCCCTTACGCGCAGCAGCCCACACCTTCGGGCTCTAAAGGCGCCGTTCCATACAACGCGAGCTCAATGCCATGGGCACCCCGCCGCCCTTCGCTGCTCCGCTATGAAGCCTCTGCCAGATTTCCAGAAAATGGAAACCGTCACGCGCCACCGGAATTACGTCGCTCAAGATCCCCACGCTCCCCACCGCCAGCCCTTCGTAGACCTCGCTCCGTCGAACGTGGTCGTGGAAGAGTTCGTTTCGCCCTTGATGAAGATGAAACCACCACCACCTCCACTACCATTGCTGCAGAGACGAGGCCAAAGTTCTACAGCAAAGAACCATTCAGCCACCAAAAGGGCAAGGAACACATCCAAACCTGTTATTTCTGGAACCATCCGACCATTCCTCGCTGCACTAACGGCAATCGCTGTCGATTTGTGCACGAATGTAGTCATTGCCATAGTATGGATCACGGGCGCGCTCACTGCGACAGTGATCTTGGTGAAGGTTATCGTCGTGGTCCACGTCGAGAGGGGAACGCATACTCACGTCGCTGAGATACGTCATGCGACCGCGCGTCTAACAAGAGAAAACGGAGGAGGCGAAGAGGCTTTGTCGCCGAGCGCAAAGGAAGGAGTGTACCGACGTGGATGCGGATCATGGGAGTCAGCGAGAGGATATGGTGGTCACCTTGAGAAGATACGCGGTGTGGCTTCATAACTGCGAGTCTGTAAGAAAGCCGAGGATGTATTCACGATTTTGCCCGGTGCAATGATGAATGAACTATAATCATGTAGAACAAACTTCCTGATTTGTCTCAAGGCAAAGCGGATACAACGCTTGTCGATCGTTGCTCTAATGTGCTGCGCTCTTGCAGGCCGCCCTTCTCCGCGTGTTCTCGTCACGAAGGCCTCCTGTCACTTCCAAGGTTGGTGTTCTGACCGACACGTCATTTGTGTTGTTCCTTTGATGGCGCGGCTGTGTTTTGATGTCGAGATTCCATAGGGAGTGTGGGAGCCTGAAGGTTGAAGTTCGAAGTTCCCAGGTCTGCCGCCCATCAGGGTTCAGTGCAGCAACCTCGGCTGATTAGTAAGGCTCCATCCCGCCCACGATGTTGTCTTCCAACAGCACCGGGGCAACTTCCAAAGTCATTAGCAACATTTTGCCACAAATGCTACCACTCAGAATGTCGCATTCAATTTACCCGAGCACACACGCGACAGAAGTTGAATGAGCTCTGTACATGATAAGTGACATGTTGCTAGTGGATAGCACCGGCCAGCCTGACGCGACGCGTTTGCGCTGAAAGCGCGCCATCACGTGAT